TTATAAGGAGTCTTGTTTCAGCCAGGCATCACGTAATTTCATCTTAGGGTGGTCACAATAGTCTATTCTGTCCAGGGACCCCTCTATAAATCGAGATACTTCCCCAGCTGTGAAGGGATACCAGATGAAAATCTCTGCCTAGAGCAGTACCGCTGGTCTCCAGCTAGGAGAGATGCCAAAAACAAAAACTATAGAATTGTTACTAGGAAGCCTTGCTTTGCTATGTCATGATCGAAAATTACTAATATTTTACTCAGTTTGCTATAGTATTTGCTTCCTCCCAACTATAGATGTCCAGTCCATAATTATTTATCTCGTATAATACTGATTACACCAACAGCGGTATGTGCTATTGGAAAGAATATTGTCGGATTTTCAATTTTTGGCCAAGAATGGGATAGCTGGTATAATTGTATTGATGTATGATGATGAAAAAAATGAGTGGATTGTCGTAACATCTACTGAGTTGTACGAGCACAAGTTTCTACTCCTAGGAGTAATGACGAGGGGCAGTCAAAGGCTGTGCATCGCGATGGCACAGTCAGAGAGGTGGTCACTGTGACTACAAGCGTGGGGTGAGCAGTAACTCGAGCTGTGCTATCTTCACAAGCTACTGTACATGGAGAATGTTTATGGTAGTACGGCAGGTATGACTGGAACTCAATGAAGTGAAGCCTGTGGCATCCTTCTATCAGTGTTCTCCATTTCACGTGGTAGTTCATTCTCTATCCTATGCTCTGTCTTGCAATATCACCCCATATGTTGCTCATACACTTCATCCTACTAGGGCTTGCTTGTTTCAGGGCGGGGATTGGGATTGAAAGCTCCCTCAGGTGAGTCGTAGGGTGCACAGCTCCCTGCATTACACATTTCGTAAATGTGTATAGCTTTACGGTTCACGTTCCTCCTTCCTTAAGTCTGCTGATCCCTTGGTATCTTTCATGTCCTCTACTATCAGTATCGAAGGGATTCTGCAGATTTCCTACATAGGTATCATAGATATGCAGCGATAGCGAGATCGGACACATGAAGGTATCCTTAATAAATGCTCGTATTTCGTGAGCATTTTACTTATTGCTTAGAAAATTGTATTTTATTTTGGTATTTTCTCTTTGGAGTAGGGGGAGGGGGTAAAGTTAGGGCATCGTTACAGTTTGACAGCCAAAACCACTAATGTAAACAGTATATGGGAACGGTAATCAATTAAGCCAAGGGTATATCCTTTCCAAATTGAGAATAATGGTTTGATATAAATTATATTGAAGTACGTGTTATATTTCAACAATATGAATTCCACATGCAATAATTCATAATGCGCATTTCGTCTGGTGAAATTGCTTGTTATAGTATCCTGAGTGACTTTTCGCCAAATCAAACTTTCATGCTGCAATACATTTGAATGAGATGTATTGGAGATTTTTGGTCTGTGCGATGGTGTGTAGTGATTACTTTCGTGATCGTACCATAGCTTTATTTTATTTATCCATCCAACATTTTAAAATGGCTATTGTGTTAGATTCTACCCACAACCCCCCCCCCCTCCTCCCCTATAGAATTCCTGGATTCCCAGAAGCGGACTCAAGCTTGTTTGATGGCATTGGGACTGAATTTTATCAAATTTCGTTTGTCTGTGGAAAATAAGATTCCTTGCTTCCACTTTGTAGTTTTTTCTACTTGAGTGATAGCTTTTTGGTCACTTTCTAATGTCTATATTTGTCATTTAATTGCTTTATCCAGAAATTAATACGGTTTTCCTTGCACAGATTCCATATATCTCTAGGTAGTCCATAACTCGGAGCAATAATAATTTGTTGATTATTTAAATTCTCATGACTGCAAATTCCTGTCACCCAGTCCTTCAAGCCAAGTTTTCCTATGACGGCACCCGCTGCTCAAGCCAAATTTTCATGCTAGTCTTGTCTGTCTTGAGATCCCCGAACAACTGTGCTCCGTGTCTGTCATGTAAAGAATGGGATTGGTTACACTACAGTTGTCCCCCTGTAGAGAAACATTGTGCCAGAACAGGTCAGTGTCTGCAATAACTTGAGTGAACTACACATCAAAGATAGGGCTATGGCATTTCAATTGGAATTTATAAGAAACTAAACTTAGAAAAGACAATTCACCCACTTTATTATGAGACATCATACATCAGAAATAGAAAATCCGACACTAAATTTCAAAATAACATCTATCGTTATTTCAACAATAATAAGAGACGTAATTATGGATTTATGAAGGCAAAAGTTGGGAGGAAGCAAATGCTATAACATAGCCTTGCCAGCCATACAATGTGCAAAGCAAATAACTGGAACTGCTATTTTTAACTGGCACTCCACAATTTTTCTCTGGCACTCAACTTTATTCACTAGGACGTAAATAATTTCTTAAGTGAATGTTTGCCTAGATAATCTTCAAAATTTTTAGTGAGGCACCATTGTTAGTTATAATAGAAATAGGTAATATATTATATTACTCTACTTTTACTGCGTTAGTATACCTGATGATATAATAAACCAATTAGACAGCCAAGTAAATAATATCCGTAATAGTAGTACATTTTCCTGGGAGCATTTTCTTTCTCCTGTTGGGGCGAAAGAGCAGCACAGATGTTCTCGTTCTGTACCGCTATAGGAGGGGATTTTTATTTCTGTTCCCTTCACAAATGGGGAAGTAACCCGCTCTGTTAACAGATATATGATATCAGACTATAATACACACACACACAAACACAATGCATCACTGTAGCATGTACAGTTGCCTGTATTTGTGACTGGTAAAACGGCTTGAATGGATTTGAACATGAAATTACTTCTATAAAAAGCCGGTTCAAATCTTATATTTGAATGGAAAATTAGTTTTCATGCAAAATATTTGAAGAATTCTATCATGTAGAATATTAGCCATCATCCATGGTGGATTGATGTTTAGAATGGAGGTTTGCTTCATTCCATTCAACTTGTTCGAGAATGCAAACAAAGACGAAGAAGCCACTCTCAACAGTCCAGTGAAAACGAATGTACTAATGCAGGCAACTGTACGTTCGTAAATAAAATTCATGCACAACGGATATTAAGCTGTACCTTTTGTCCATCAATTAGTGCATTATCCGTAGTGTATATAACGAGTTCAGTGAATTGATCTATATTGAATTATAATAATGCAACTGTTGTATTAATTCTATACAAAACATGCCAATTCATAGTAACCATGTGATAGTTTAGCCTATCAGAAGAAAATGTACACTAAGCAAACTTTACCTTTTAATGCATTGCAGAGACGAATTCAACACAGGAAAGGAGTCAAGTCACTAGCTAGGCACATATCCTCCATAAACGGTAAGATCCTAAGTTTTCAGAAGAACGTCTTTAAACAATTTTGTATTCATGGTCTTTTTGTCAATCAATAGGGTTTTCATGATTTTGGTAGTCTGGTTCGTCGAAGCATTCGTGGAAAGGTTATTGTAATTTAGAAATATATTCATTGCCCTCGGTTTACATAAAGACGAAAATTCAACTTCCAGCAATGTCAATTGTTATCTATGATAGTCATTTTTTTCGTGGAAAATTCACTCATTTTAAATAGTCTTTCATTCATTGGGAATTGATCTCTATTGCCTCCCCTTCCCCAATCCTATGCCCATTGTTGTGGGGGGGGGGGGGCTTAGGTGATGGAGACTGAACACCAGTGATCTCCCTTGCTTTGGGCCTCAGCCCCTTTCCTTTTCCTTTTCTATACCCTATTCTGTCCATTTCCTAAGATATGAAAGCTATGACAATGATAGTGAAAATGACCTACTTACCTTACTGACTGTGATGCAGTATCAGTACAGTGCTACACCATCCCCCCTGAGGCCGCCGAAAATCATACACTAACATTGCCAAGATTACTTACTGTAGACATGATCTCCCCAATGAAGTTTATCTTGCCCTCTCGAGCATATCAATCCCTCTCTTGTCAACGTCAGTTATTGTGCATTTTGGCCACACTGCTAAGCATTGTCGCTCCACAGCCT